CGGTCCTTGGGACGGGAGCTCCAAGGGGAATGGAACTGGCAGAGAGAGAGAGAGAGACAGAGACACAGAGAGAGAGAGAGACAGAGGAGGAGCCTAGGCCGTCCATCAGCCCTCAGATGGAGAGTCAACAGCCCCCAGGTCAGGAAGTGGCTGATGAGGAAGAGGAGGAACAGCTGGGTCCAGTGCCTGATGTGCAGAAGCCAGAGGAGAGGAGAGCAGTGGAAATCTATGGGCCGGTTCTTGGGACGGGAGCTCCAAGGGGAATGGAACTGGCAGAGAGAGAGAGAGAGAGAGAGAGAGGAGGAGCCTGGGCTGTCCGTCAGCCCTCAAATGGAGAGTCAACAGCCCCCAGGTCTGGAGGTGGCTGACGCGGAAGAGGAGGAACAGCCAGGTCCAGTGCCTGATGCACAGAAGCCAGAGGAGAGGAGAGCAGTGGAAATCTATGGGCCGGTCCTTGGGACGGGAGCTCCAAGGGGAATGGAACTGGCAGAGAGAGACAGACAGACAGTCCTTGGTCTGGAAAAGCCACTGCTGCTAGCAAAGCCCTATCCTAGCTCTGGGGATAAAAGGCAGGAGACGGAGATGAGTAGGTGTGACAAACAACTATTCATCTTCCAGCCGGACAGACTTGTTAGCCTGCGGTGAGAGAGAAACATTTTGCCGGGGCTGCCAGCATTCCTAATAATGGCATATTTGAGTTCACGTCAGAGGGTTTGCCGTGTTTGGGGAGCCGGCTCAGAACACCTCCTTCCCTGCACTCAGTTTTACGTAGCCAGCATAAACACCAAGAGTGAAAGGACTGAGGTTTAAGGTTTTGTATACAGATAGTTCTCGACTTACACGTCCATTTAGTGACCGTTTGAAGCAACAACCACACTTTAAAAAAGTGACTTATGGCTGTTTTTCACACTTAATGATGGTTGCACCACCTTGTCGTCTGTTCAAAAATTCATACGCTTGGCAACTGGCATGTATTTATGACGGTTGCAGCATCCCTATAGTCACATGATCAGAATTCAGACACTTGGCACTTGACTCATATTTATGACAGTTGCAACATCCCCGGGGGTCACGTGATCCTCTTTTGTGACAAGCGAACTCAAGGGGGAAGCCAGTTTTGCTTAAAGACCGTGTTCCTAATTGAACAACGGCAGGGATTCGCTTAGGAAACGCGGCAAGGAAAGTCGTAAAATGGGGCCAAACTCACTGAACGTATTTCTCACTTGGCGACAGAAATGTGGGCCTCAATTGCGGTCATAAGTCGAGGAGTACCTATATTTCTTGAAGATCACTCTTCAGGTTGACTTCTAACTGGGCTCAACTTTGGGACAACTAGTGTTGCTTTAGCAATTTCAGAGAAAAATCCACACCCAGGCAGGTTGTGTGTTTATATACCCTGTTTCTCTGAAAATAAAACCTACCCCGAAAGTAAGTCCTAGCTTGATTTTTACACATGCACCCAATATAAGCCCTACCCCCCCAAATAAGCCCTAATTAAGACCCTGGCCTCTCCACGGTGGACGGGTAAAAATTAAGCTAGGGTGGGGATAGGCTGTGGTGGAGCTACCCTACTACTTACCTTTGGGCAGTTGTAGCCAGGCCTCGCACCTCCTCGACACCTGCCTGGCCGGCCCATTTCTTCTGCAGCCGGCAAGGCTGTCAAGGCTTTCCTGAAGGCCTCTGGAGCTGAGAACAAAGCTCTGGATCGATCCAGAGGTCTGTTATCGGCTGCAGAGACCTTCAGGGAAGCCTTGCCGGCTGCAGAAGAAGAAGTTCTTGAAGGCCTCTGACTGCGAAAAGGAGGCCAGGGGCGACGTGCGCAAGTCAAATTAGTCAGTGGAGGACATCCCCCGAAAATAAGACCTGGTGCCTTTTTTTTTGGTGGCAAAAAAAATAAGACAGGGTCTTATTTTTGGGGAAATACGATGCTGAAACTTTCGCCATTCTCTGCATGGGTTATCGGTGGTTTGCGACCAGCCAAGCAACCTCCCGTCGCTTCTCCGAGGATCCTATTTGGTCCTGTGAGACTTTGAGCCGATCCCTGCGCGTTTAGCTAAGGAGTTCCCTATCCTGCCCGCAAACGATTTTGTCGTGAACGTTTAGAAGATATATTCTTTGCTTTGTTGTTATTTTCTCAAGGCTGCGCATGGTGGGGAGGGCAGGTTTATAGTCAACGGAGCGAATTTTGCTTTCCAGGTGGAAAAAGAGAAAGAAGTTGCAACAGGCCGCTCGGAATCACGCTTTGGATGAGGTACCAAGCGGTGAGTTTTCTCTTCTCTGGGGCTCTGAGGTCCCCCCCCTGCAAGATGTTCTCCCGTAACACATGTTCCCATCACCGGTTTGTCATCCTTTCAACTCGAGGTTCCAAGAATTGAATCCGAATAATAGAATAACACGTGGGAAACACCCAGAACCTTTGCAAAGGGCCTTTTTCAAACTCCCCCATGGGAACCCTCGGCCCTTTCTCCTCCCCCTCCCTCCAAAAAAGGGAAGACAGGCCTTATTCAGAAACCAATGGCATATAGATTTAGCATGTGTGACGCATCCAAAAAGCAGAATAAGAGAATGACAGCGTTGGAAGGGACCCTGGAGCTCTTCTAGTCTGACCCCTTGCTCAAGCAGGTGATCTTATAGACCATTCCGTCATGCCCTTGTTGGAGTCTGACAGGGGAGGGGGAGATGGAGCAGCTGGCAGGGAGTGGGAGTGTGGCTCCGGTGGCTGTGAAAGAAATGGGGGAAGGGCACAATCCGGCTGGGCCTTCAGAGGAAGACCCAGGGCCCCCACCTCTTCATCCTAGGGCACGCAGGGAGGAACGGAGAAGGGAGCAATGTGGCTTATGGGAGAGGAAGAGGGCCTGATCCCTTTCATTAGTTGCAGCTGGAAGAACAGGATATATAAGTGGGGCATTTGCACACAGCTCCTTGCTGGAAGCAAACCGTGCATTATCTTGGTCGAGGCTTATCTGGGTTTTGGCGTCCTCCAAACTGGATGCTGCATTATCTTTTGAAAGTCTGCAATTTATCATCCTGGCCTGCCCGTGTTAATGACTCCAGTGTGGTTTGTGTTGATTTTTTTTTTATTTCTAATTATCTTTACTTTGGGTTTCAACTGCATTTCCTCCCTTTGTAGACTGTTTTTGGAAGAGTTTGATCTCCAGCCGAGGATAATTGGACATTGGGGGCCAAGTTGGAGGCATTAAAGGGAATTCTACTTTTGTGATCACACATTCTTCCAGACAAATGGCTGTCCAATCTCTTCTTAAAAACCTCCAGTGTTGGAGCATTCACAACTTCTGGAGGCAACTTTTTCCATTGATTAATGGTCCTCACCGTCAGAAAATTCCTCCTTAGTTCCAAGTTGCTTCTCTCCTTGATTAGTTTCCATCCGTTGCTTCTTGTCCTGCCTCTTCAGGGGCTTTGGAGAATAGCTTGACTGCCTCTTCTTTGGGGCAGCCCCTCTAATTTCAGAAGACTGCTCTCATGTCACCCCTACTCCTTCTTTTCATTAAATTAGACATACCCAATTCTGGAACTGTTCTGTATCTGGGACTTCTACATCAGGCACACAATTGGGTTGTCCATCAAGATCACGGAACAGATTTTTGTCTGACATAGCCTCTTTTTAAAATGCTCTCTCTGGTTAAATAATATCCTTTAAAAAAATCGTTTAGGTCCTAGCCACAGAAACAGAATTGCACCTGAAAACGTGGGAACTTAATCCAACGGTAAGGCACCGGTCCTGTGTGTGTTGCTGTGCAAGTAGTCCTCAACCTACGACCACAACTGAGCTCAAAATTTTCCCGCTGCTAAGTGAGATGGCTGTTAAGTGAGTTTTGCCCCATTGTACGCCCTTGCCTGCCGTGGTGGTTCAGTGAGTCACATGGTCGTTAAGTGAATCAGGCTTCCTCATTGACTTTGCTTGTCGGAAGCTCGCAAAAGGGGATTGTGTGATCCCCGGGACACCGTCGTAAATATGAGTCCGTTGCCAAACATCCAAATTTTGACCATGTGACCACGGAGATGCTGCAACAGTCATAAATGTGGAAAACGGACATAAGTCACGTATTCAGGGCCATTTGAACTTCAAATGATCACTAAATGAACAGTTGTAAGTTGAGGACTGCCTATATATTAATGGGTTTTTATTTTCTTCGGAATTGCTCTCTGAAAGGTAGCAGTTGGTGGGTGCAAAGCTTTAGAACTGGAAACAACATTTCTATCTCAATAAACTTTCAAGATG